TGAAGTTTGTAGGCAAATTAGCTATAATTTTGCGCTGAAGTTGCTAGAGGGCCAGACCATTATAAATAGGGAAGCAGGTTGTTTACCAGGACAGTAGAAGTGATTTTCTTCTGAAGATATGGGTAAACAACGCGATTTAACAGCCTTTGAACGTGGGATGATTGTTGGCGCTCGGAGTCATGGAGCGAGTATCAGCAAAACAGCAGAATTCGTTAAATGTTCAAGAGCAGCTGTTGTTAAAGTGTTTAAAGACTGGACTGTCAGCCGAAAATCTGCGTCTGAACGTGCGAATTGTGGAAGTCAGCAACAAGTCAATGTTAGGGCAGAACGGAGAGTGGCAAGACTGGTACAAGGCAACAGAAGGCCAACAGTGCAGTGTCAGATTTAGAGCTGCAGCTAACGATTATTTTCATAATCGATTAGTTAGCCGATTATTAAGTTCGATTAATCGGATTAAAAAAAAAAAAAGTCTCCAGTGATGGACTACTAGTTTGTATTGAGATTGTAGTCCATCACGGGAGCAAGCTTGGAGCGGTGGAAGTAAAAAAAAAAAGTGTGGTGTGCAATATAGTACATTATAAAGCGGCACAGTGCAGAATACCAGCAGCTATAGCGGAATGCAGCAAATCGCAGCAATAGTACATTATACTATAATGTATTATTGCTGGGATCTGATGCATTCCTCTATAGCTGGTGTTATTGGAGAGGATGGGTATGATGCAGGAATGCAGAGGACGGGTATGATGGTGGAATGGGGTGCAGAGGACGGGTATGATGGTGGAATGGGGTGCAGAGGACGGGTATGATGATGGAATGGAGTGCAGGGAAGGAGAGGATGGGTATGATGGTGGAATGGGGTGCAGGGAAGGAGAGGATGGGTATGATGGTGGAAAGGGGTGCAGCCATGGAGAGGACGGGTATGATGGTGAAATGGGGTGCAGGGAAGGAGAGGACGGGTATGATGGTGGAATGGGGTGCAGGGATGGAGAGGACGGGTATGATGGTGGAATGGAGTGCAGGGATGGAGAGGATGGGTATGATGGTGGAATGGAGTGAAGGGATGCCGAGGATGGGTATGATGGTGGAATGGAGTGAAGGGATGGCGAGGACGGGTATGATGGTGGAATGGGGTGCAGGGATGGAGAGGGCGGGTATGATGGGGGGCTGGGGTGCAGAGGACGGGTATGATGGTGGAATGGGGTGCAGGGATGGAGAGGACGGGTATGATGGTGGAATGGAGTGCAGGGATGGAGAGGACGGGTATGATGGTGGAATGGAGTGCAGGGATGGAGAGGACAGGTATAATGATGGAATGGAGTGAAGGGATGGAGAGGATGGGTATGATGGTGGGTTGGGGTGCAGAGGACGGGTATGATGGTGGGTTGGGGTGCGGAGGACGGGTATGATGGTGGGTTGGGGTGCAGAGGACAGGTATGATGGTGGGTTGGGGTGCAGAGGACGGGTATGATGGTGGAATGGGGTGCAAAGGATGGGTATGATGGTGGGTTGGGGTGCACAGTGTTGGGCCCAACAAAGCGGCCCAACAAAGTCATCTTGTGGAGTCATCTTGTGGCCCAACGAAGTACTGATGGGGTGGTCATAATAATCTGGCCACTCAGTGTATATCTAAAGCCAATTTTTTTTTCCCCCCCGTTAACAAAATAAATCTTTTTTTTTTTTTTGACATTTGTGTCTCATTGGGGAGATATCCCTTAACTTCCTGAACTGTAGACTCAACAGGAATTGAGAGGGTATCTTTACAACTTGAGGAAAATCTCCTTTTAGACAGTTGTCACAGGAACAGGTACCCCACTGGAAGACCTTCCCCCTCTATTATTGACCTGTAAAAACCTCCCTTATGTAGACTGAAATTGCTGCTGGGTCATCTTGGACGTGATGTCAGCAGATTTAGGGCCGTCATTCAACTGACTCCTTCCCCTGCTGCTACGCATAAAAGGTAGGCAGGTGAAAGGTGGGTCAGAGGAGCAGTGCCAGCACAGACAGCATATAGACAAAAGAGAAGAGAGCTATGACATGCTCAGAAGCAGGGGGCGGTGCTAGGGAATTGACTCTTCCTGCAGCAGTCAAAAAGGAGAGAGAAAAAACCCCACTACAAGAGAACATTTAATATTCTTGTATTTGGGCACTTTTACCTGCAATTTGGTGACCAAATCTCTTTCATGCAGAACTACATTGTTATTACATTCCCCAGCACCTTGTAAAACTAAACAGGCATGTTCAACTGTACTACTCACCTTCTCTCTGTAGCTATCCATGTCTTACTGCCATTCTTCTGTGCAGCCTGAACGATGGCCATCATGATTCAATCCACTTTCTGTGCATGCAGACTGTAATGGACACTCCCCCTGGGTGTGCATCATTAGACCAGCCTGTTGCTTAGTATATTCCCATGGTGCACTCAGGCTGTCATTGACACTCCCCCTGGGTGTGCATCATTAGACCAGCCTGTTGCTTAGTATATTCCCATGGTGCACTCAGGCTGTCATTGACACTCCCCCTGGGTGTGCATCATTAGACCAGCCTGTTGCTTAGTATATTCCCATGGTGCACTCAGGCTGTCATGGACACTCCCCCTGGGTGTGCATCATTAGGCCAGCCTGCTGTGTAGTATATTCTCATGGTGCAACATACTGGCATCAATCCTATAGTTATCATTGTGCTGTAACAACTCCCAACTGATCACAGTGCATAACATGGGCAAGAAATGTTGCCAGCACACAGCCGGCTTTCTCAGTGCGGAAAGAGGGGGTGTGGTCATGATTGGGAACGCTGAGGACTCCAAAAATCACACAAAAATGCAGCATAGTGCGGGAGCATCTTCTCATGAGAGGTGGCTGAATACAATAGCCTGAGTCTGCTTTCATTTATGTATAAATGCGAGGACTGTAGCAAAGTTTAAAGAGACCCTGTGTGAATATAGATATTGACGATTTCATTTACACCTAGCCTTTGCATAATGCAGCCCATTTAGACCCCCCCCCCTTTTTTTTGCACGGTAGTGTGTTACTATACACTGTAGGTGAAATGCTGTAGTGAATTGCAGAACCATTTTAATTAAAATTGGTACCACAACAATGCACACACTATGGGTCCAATTTATTAATCTGGATGGAGCAGCAAGCATAGAAATTTCCTATGCTCCTCTGCTCAATCTAGTGGCGGGAATGCCATACAAACAGCATTCGCCCAGAGTGCGGCAGGGCTTAAGATTTATAAAATCATCCCCTCTGTAATATAGATTAACAACTGGTGAATGCCAAGACTAAATATTAAAACTGTATATGGCTGGCCTAAAGCTGATGTCACACGAGATTTTTTTTTTTTTTAGCAGTGATTGATCACCAATGCCAGTGATTAGCAGTTAGAGATTGGATCACCAGAGTTGCTGGCAATTTGTTCAAATTAGTGCTACAGCATTGGTTTGCGAGTTCAACAATTTGTAGCCCAGGCATAGAGGGGAACGAAGAGCAATTGCCCCTAGTGATTTTGCCACCATCATGAAACGCTTCTGAATCTCAAACCAAAAAAACCTCTTTAAAATATGGAAGAGATATCCACCCCCGTTGAAATTCAACATAAACTGATCACCGTCACAACATACTGCTCGTCTACCAGAGCTCCAGACCCCGCACTTAATTTTTAGCCTTTGAGGGATCTTAATTTTTGCTGCTCTGTGATCTTCTCCTCTGCCTTCCCCTCTTTAAATGTCTCTGCTGATATTGCTTCATTCTTTGCCATCCTTTCCACTAAAAGGAACATGTATTCCCTACTTCCCTTCTATAGCGGATACGTTAGGGCTGCCAATGCTTCAGGAGCCTGGTCACCAATGCTTTTTAAAAGTTACAGCTTTTAACTTTTGGGGTTTTCTCTAGTGGCCAAAAAAAAAAAAATCCTGCTGGCTCCTGAACTCCATATTGATTGGTCCACCACTGTGATAGTTACAGTTTCATTCTTACAGAACTCCACCTATAGGCTATAGGCCTCCATGTTGATTTATGTTCTGACTTTGACATCACTCCTCAAGATGTGTTTTGTGCTTGTCGGTATATACCGGTTATTTCTACAGTAACACGGTCACATTTATTGTCTATCTACAGTAATGGCTTCTTATTTAATTTAGGTCTACACTTATGTATTTGGCCTTCCATTGTGTCCATGTGTATTCATCTTTATTTAGAACGTGGTCCTTGGGCCCATTCTGTAATCTCTTGCAATTCTTTTTTTTCCCTTTAAGAGAAAACCACCCCCCCACCAAATGTAACTTTTTTTTTTATTCCCCCCCTTACCAAATGCTTGGCTGTCCTCAATCCCCCACCCCAAGCAAACCCAGCACTGTTCTCCGGTGATTGGTGTTCCTCTGCCAAACGCCAGGTCCCGCACCTCCGTCTTCTTCCATGGCGCCACCAGGAGCCAACTGTTTCTTCTATGTTCAGGAAGCTGCACCAGGTCCTTTCTCCTCCGGTCTTCTGTATGGAAGCCAACCCCTCCTGGGATATGTGATGGACATATACCAGGAGGCACCAGAAACAGAGCACTTCATTCTTGCCTTTGCAAAAGTGGGGGACAGGGGGCAGGGCAAAAAAAATACAAAGGGG